CGCGACTCGCGACCTCGGTAGGGCATCTGCAGACCTCCCTGTCTGCAGCGGACTGATTCGGCGTATTCCACGTGACTCGCGACCTTGGTACCTAGAAACTTTTTTTAATGAATTGTGATTTCAACAGCAATAATTATCAGTTTAATGTCAGTAGGTAGAAAAATATTATTCTTCAGCTATAAACACCAAATGAGCATTAACTCTGATGACAGCATCATTTAAATATTTTAAAATATAGTGACAGAAATGAAAAAGAATAGTTGAGACGTAGGTGGTTTACAGAGTTTCCAACATAGTTCAAAAGACAGTAGTTAACTATGTGTATGTTAACTAACATAACAAGGCAGAATTTTCATTGCACTTTTGAACATCATCAGCAACACGTAAGTACTTCTCTAGAGGAATTTTAATGTTATGTTTTTATTTGGAAAGATTAAAAATTGTGGACTGCTTAGATTCTAATATGTGTTTAGCTGTTTTATAAACATAAACTTTGTTTTGGAATAAATTTATGTTTATAGAAAAGTTGCAAAGATAAGTTCTCATAAAATCCTCACCAATCTCCCCTTTTACTATCTTATAATTGTAAATGGTTTAAAACAAAGAAATCAACATTGATGTAAATTGAAGTTTTTTCTATAAACCTGAGACATTTTTCAGATTTCATCAGTTTTTCCATTAATGTTCTCTTTCTGTCCCAGAATCCAACCTAGAATGCCATATTGCATTTAGTTGTTATGTCTCCTCTACTTTCACAACCTTGACTTTTTTGATAATTTTGTAGAATACTTCTCAACTTTGATTTATCTAATATTTTCTTACTATTTGATTGAAGTTATACATTTTGAGAATTTCACAAAAGTGGTGCTGTATCCTTCAGAGTACTTCCTATCAGGGGTTTATGGTATCCACATGATCACTTGGTAAACACGGTGATTGCAGGTTTTCCCAGTGACAAGTCACTATGTCTTGACTACCAGCAAAGAATTAAGTTCTATTCATCCATGTAGGATTTACCGACATATATTGTTTAGAATTCTTCTGTAAGGGAGATTTATATAGAGAGGATCTTAAAAATCTAACATTTCAAGGTATCTAACTCTTCTATTGATGTTACCATAATACTGTTTGTTTCCTGCACACATATTTTTAGTAGATTCCAATAAAATATAAATCACACAAAGTCTCCAACTTGAAACGATTTATAGTTGAGAGATATTAAAAAGAAGTTAATAAGTAAACAAGATAATTACATATTGGGATGTGTTATAAATGAAACTTCATAAGATGTGAGAGAATGTGGTAACTCTGGGGGAAGCTCTGAGAGACCACAATTTGGAAAGGTCAGCCTGAGGTGTTGACATTTAATAGAGAATTTAAAAAATAGAACAAGCCAATTTTGTGAAATTATAGAATGGTCTGGAGACAGGAAATGGTCCCATGATAGTTAATTCATGTGTCAACTTGACAGGGTCATGAGGAACCAGCTATTTGGTTAAACATTCTGGAAATTTTTTTTTTTTGAAACTAGGGATTGAACCCAGAACCCAGAGCTTCACACATATTAGGCAAGTGCTGTATGCCCAGTACTTATGTTAATTTCTTAAAACAGTGGATGAGAAGAAAAATCATTTTTTAAGCAGAGGCACAAATAGTACTTT